GAGGGGTGTGCCGAAATGGCCCGAGGCCGCCGTGGGAACCCTGCCGCTGGGGCCTTCAGTGGAGCTTCCTATGGGGCCACGATCCTCGCGAGGGGTGTGCCGAAATGGCCCGAGGCCGCCATGCGCACTTTGCCACTGGCGCCTTCGGTGGAGCTCCTATGGGGCCACGACGGTGTGCCGAGATGGCCCGAGGCCGCCATGCGCACTTTGCTACTGGCGCCTTCGGTGGAGCTCCCATGGGGCTACGATCCTCGCGAGGGGTGTGCCGAAATGTCCCGCGGCCGCCATGCGCACTTTGCTACTGGCGCCTTCGGTGGAGCTCCTATGGGGCCACGATCCTGGTGAGGGGTGTGCCGAAATGGCCCGGTGCCGCCGTGGGAACCGTGCCATTGGGGGCCTTCGGTGGAGCTCCAGCTTTCATGGAGCCGCGATCCTCGTGAGGGGTGTGCCGACATGGCCCGGGGCCGCCACGGGAACCCTGCCACTGGAGGCCTTCGGTGGAGCTCCTATGGGGCCGCGATCCTCGTGAGGGGTGTGCCAAAATGGCCCGAGGCCGCCATGCGCACTTTGCTATTGGCGCCTTCGGTGGAGTCTCATGGGGACACGATCCTCGTGAGGGGTGTGCCGAAATGGCCCGGGGCCGCCATGGGAACCATGCCACTGGGTGCCTTCGGTGGAGCTCCAGCTTTTACGGGCCCCGATCCTTGTGAGGGCTGTGCCGAAATGGCCCGAGGCCGCCATGCAAACCCTGCCACTGGAGGCCTTCAGTGGAGCTCCAGCTCCTATAGGGCCACGATCCTCGTGAGGGGTGTGCCGAAATGGCCCGGGGCCGCCATGCGCACTTTGCTACTGGCGCTTTCGGTGGAGCTCTTATGGGGCCACGATTCTCTTCGGTGGGGCTCCTGTGGGGCCACGATCCTTGTGAGGGGTGTGCCGAAATGGCCCGAGGCCGCCATGCGCACTTTGCTACTGGCGCCTTCGGTGGAGTCTCATGGGGCCACGATCCTCGTGAGGGGTGTGCCGAAATGGCCCGAGGCCGCCATGCGCAGTTTGCTACTGGCGCCTTCGGTGGAGCTCCTATGGGGCCACGATCTCGTGAGGGGTGTGCCGACATGGCCCGAGGCCGCCATGCGCACTTTGCTATTGGCGCCTTCGGTGGAGCTCCTATGGGGCCACGATCCTCATGAGGGGTGTGCAGAAATGGCCCGAGGCCGCCATGCGCACTTTGTTTTGGGATTTTTCGTGGAGCTCCTATGGGGCCACGATCCTTGTGAGGGGTGTGCCGAAATGGCCCGCCATGCGCACTTTGCTACTGGCGCTTTCGATGGAGCTCCTAATGGGCCACGATCTTCGTAAAAAGTGAAAATGGCCAGAGGCCGCCATGCGAACTTTGCTACTGGCGCCTTCGGTGGAGCTCCTATGGGGCCACGATCCTCGTGAGGGGTGTGCCGAACTGGCCCGAGGCCGCCATGCGAACCGTGCCGCTGGAACCCTTCGGTGGAGCTCCAGCTCCTATAGGGCCACGATCCTTGTGAGGGGTGTGCCGAAATGGCCCGGGGCCGCCATGCGCACTTTGCCACTGGCGCTTTCGGTGGAGCTCTTATGGGGCCACGATTCTCTTCGGTGGGGTTCCTGTGGGGCCACGATCCTTGTGAGGGGTGTGCCGAAATGGCCCGAGGCCGCCATGCGCACTTTGCTATTGGCGCCTTCGGTGGAGCTCCTATGGGGCCGCGATCCTCGTGAGGGGTGTGCCGAAATGGCCCGAGGCCGCCATGCGCACTTTGCTATTGGCGCTTTCGGTGGAGCCCCTATGGGGCCACGATCCTCGTGTGGGTGATGATGATGGTGGTGATGGTGATGATGATGATGACGACGATGATGCGAGGAGGAGGGAGGGGGCAGCGGGAGGAGGAAGGAACGCGGGGCGCTGTCTCTTCAAAACGAGGACCCAACACCACAGGATGGTTGGGAAAAAGATGCGCCCAAGAGGCGGACCACGACTCCAAAATTCGACCCTCCCGCTTGAAGAGTGCCCCAAGAGGCCCCAAGGAGCCCCCAAGAGGCCCAAGGAGGCCCCCAAGAGGCACCCAGGAGGCCCAAACGAGGATTAAAGAGGCTTCAAAACAGCCCCGAGGAGGCCCCACAACGGTCCCAAAACGGCTACCGAGAAGCTGCGAAACTGCCTTCACGACGTCCCCGACAGGCCAACCACGAGATCCAAACCAACACCCATGAGGCCTCTGACCCACCACCCAGGGCACGGTGGCGGGAGCAGTGACAGCACTTGTGCACAGCATGTTCCGGCGGGAGCCTTCCGGAATACGCTGCAGGGGGAGGAGGAAGATCAGGAGTAGAGAGAGCTGGAGTGAGAGGAGGAGAAGGAGGAGGAGGAGGAGGAGGAGGAGGAGGAGGAGGAGGAGGAGGAGGAGGAGGAGGAGGAGGAGGAGGAGGGGGACGAGGAGGAGGAAGAGGCCTCCAAGACAGCCTCAAGATAGCCGAAGAGGCTTCCAGGAGGGCCTGGGCGGCCCACGAGGGCCCCAAGACGGCCCCAAGTGAGGCCCAAGAAGGGAAAACGAACCGAGAATCCGAGCTTTCTACCCCGAGAGTTCTCGGGAAGTCCCAAGAGGCCCCCAATCGGATCCAAGAGGCCCCCAAGAAGCTCCCAAGAGGGCCGACGAGGTTTCCGTAGCCATTTTGGCTCAAGCCATTTTGGCTCAAGGCTCAATCCTGTTCCCTGGGGATGGATCCTTGGTCGCTGCCGACGGGGAGGCTCGAGGGCCCCTCCAGCAGCTGGAGCTTCACATTTGCACTGCCACTCCTTCCCGTCTTCTCCGTTTACTCATGCCTGCTTCTGGCAACCGCGCTCGTGGCAATCGCCGTGAGCCATCTAGTGATGTCAGCTCTTCCGAGGTTCGTTCCAAGAGTCGTTCGAACAGGGAGGTCTCCAGCTCGCGGGGCGCCAAATTCGACCTCATCCTCTCTGGTCTCCAAGGGCTTAGTCAGCAAGTTGCGACGAGCTCGGCTGAAGTCACGAAGCTCAAGACCCAGATGGACTTGCAATTGATGCGCTGCGATCAGCTGACGACAAACATGCAGATGATGGGCAATGATATCCACAGTCGCATCACTCACATGGAGGGGATTCACGCTGCGTGTACGACCGACCTTCGGGACTCAATCGAGAAAATGAATGCCAGGGTCTGCGACTTAGAGAGTTCGCCGACTCCGATTTCTGCCTCTGATTCCTCCTCCGCTGCGGGCTCGCACGTTCAGAAGAAGATTGCAGACATTGAGGAGAAATTATCATTTCTGTCTTCGGCAGGCTCTACGCGCTCGTCTCGCGTGGTGAACTCTGTACACACGGAGCAGACGAATGACAACCACACGAAGCTGATCGTCCTGGGCTTCCCACGTCGTATGCTTGCCTCTACTCTCAAGACTATCGGTGAGGCGATCCGCACCAAATATTCTCCATCGGCCTCTCACGCTCGTATTGTGATCAAGGCCTTTGACCTTGCCCGTAAGATTTCGCTCCACTTCGAGACTGCGACGGAAGCAAGTGACTTTCTTCTGCGGTTCGAAGCAGATGGCAAGTTTGAGTTTCCTGACCCATTGGGCCACCAGCCTTTCTCGCTTCGCCTTCGTCGCGATGTTGATGCTCGCTTTCGCCAGCTCTTCCTCAGCATGGGCAGGGTGCGGCATGAGATGACGCAGCTCTTGCGTCCGAGGGGGTACGACGTCAACAGCAATGGCGTTGGCGGCAGCATCTACGTACTTCGTGCCAAGGATGACCCCGTGGTTCTTGCTTCGCTCCGGCTTGTTTCGGATGATGCCTCGGTCGAGCTGGATCTCGACATGGCAGCTCTGGAGGAGTTTGGTATTCACCAGCACGCTGAGGCGTTTCGCTCTGCTGCCGCGGTGACGCTTCGCTCGCCCTTTCGCCGACGATCCATGCTGTCTATCGCCTGCACTGCCGCGTTCCAGTATTCCTGTTTCTTCCTCTGCCTCTCCTACAGTTGATGACATCGGTGATGATAGGTCTTCCCCCTCCAATTGTCTTCCCTTCTCCCCTGTGAGCCCGCTGTCCCTCTGCAGCTGGAACACGCACGGTCTTTTTAGCAGCGTTCGCTGCGGCTCGTGGCGTGCCAGCGCGAGGTATCAGTTATTCCTCTCCCTCTCTCGACGTTTTCAGATCGTCTGTGGTCAGGAAACTCATGGTCATATTGGTGATATTGAAGAGCTCCGCAAGGAGCTGGATGGGACTCTTCCTGGAGTCAACATCGGTTTCTCGGGCTTTGAGGACTCTCAGCGTGAAGGTGGGGTGGTTGCTGTCTTGGGCCCTCAAGTCTCGGTGCGCTTCCCTCATATCTACCACCAGGCTCTTATTGTTGGTCGTATCTTGCAAACGACGTGTATTGGCCCCTCTGGTACGTTTGTCCTCTTTAACGTTCACATGCCCAACGCGAGCGACTCGCTCGCTACATATGCAGCTGCGTTGCGCGCTCTTCGTGCAGCAGTCAAGGAGGCGGGCTCTGCGCATTGCATGCTCATTGGTGATTTTAACTTTGCTTTGGAGGAAGAGGGGAGGATGCAAGGCGATGGGAGTGGATGGACGCATGGCGATCGGGCTCACTCTCGCCTTTTTTCATCGCATGTTCCCGACGCTTACGGAGGTGCATCAGGAGTCTGACGCGAGGAGGGAGGTTCGCGGGGGCGTCATTCGGCACACGGCTCGTCTCGATCGGATATATACTACGCTGCCTCAGGCCTATCTTAGGGACTACGATGTCCGCTGTGGTGTTGTTGGTCGTCTTCAAGCTCGCTCTCCTAGCGACCACATCCCTGTCTTTGCCACTCTGTCGCCCTTCTCCCCTTCCAAGGACTTCCCCTCTATCCCCAAACACATTGCTGCTCATCCTGAATTCTCCTCTCTACTTGAAGCCTTGGTGGTCGAATTTGATGCGCACACGAGGGACCTCTCCGCTTGGGACCGCTTGGAGGCGATCAAAGCACTGATGTTTGTGGCTGCCCAGCAAGTCCGTGAGCTCTTGAAGGTCACTGTCGCGACCTCACTTGAGCTGAAGCACCACTGGGCGATGTTCGCACTGAGGGGTGTCAGGATGTGGAAGGGATGGATGATTGGTTCTGCGCTCAAGTGTTACCCCGCGTTGTCTTCGCACTTTAACGTTCTCACGTTCGTGTGCACGAACATTCGGGGTCTTTGCGCCTTGATTCGTTGCATCCAGATCCAGCTCTTGGACCAGGAGCAAGAGGGGATTGAACGATCTGATGCCCCTGAGCCGACGAAACAGAACTTGAAAGCCCGCGTACTTCGTTTTCAGGAGCTCTGGAGGAGATTTCGGAGTCGTACCGCCGTGTCGTGTATCTATGAGGAGTCTGGGGAGCCCTGTGTCTCTTTGGAGCGGTCTGCGGAAGTTCTTCGGGATCATTGGACTGGTGTGTTTTCTCCTTGTGAACTTGACGAATCCCTGTGGCCTCAGGTCTCTGCTCACATTCAGCCGTTACCTGAGGAGCTTCCTATGGAGTGGCTGGTTCCTTACCCTACTTTTGTTGATTATGTTCGCGCCAGATGCCACAGCATGCCTGGTCCTGATGGCATTCCGTACCGAGCGTGGCGCGCCGAACCTGCTTGCCGTGCCCTCTACGATGCCTACTTGTGTTTCTTTCACGGCACCGTCGAGTCCCTTCCCGCCGATATGTGTCACAGTCTTATGGTGTTCCTCCCGAAAGGTTCGGATGATCGTGATGATGGTCCTCGCGTGTCTCGTCGTCCGCAAGATACCCGTCCACTTAGCATGAGCAACACTGACATTAAAATCCTAGCGGGTATTATGTCGATTCCTCTCGCCGCCAACTCCTCATCCCTCATCTCGCCTGCCCAGAAGTGCGTGCGCGCCAGGGACATGGTAGCCAACATTGTCGAGGCAGAAGCGTGGGGGTTAGAACAATTTGCACGTGGTCGCGACAACGCTGGCCTTTCGATGACGGGCTTCTGTGCTGCGTTCCCCTCGCTCGCGACTCAGTGGCTTCTGCATCTGCTTACCCGCATGGGCATTAGTTCTGCAGTTATTCGTTTCTTCACGTTGCTTTACCAAGCTCAGTATGCTACTATTGCATTGTGAGGGAAGAGGCATGGGAAGGTTTGCATGGGGCGAGGAGTGAAGCAAGGGTGTCCATCCAGCATGCTGCTTTTTGTCTTGGCGGCTGACCCGCTGCTCAGATGGGTTCAAGCCTCTCTCGCGTCTCACATCTCGCTCTCGTTGGCGTATGCGGATGATTTCTGTTTCGGTCTTCCTGATATTTTTACGTCGCTGGGGCCTGTCTTTCACAAGTTGGAGGGCCTGGAACGCATTGCGGGGCTGCGTCTTAATTATCACAAATGTCAGTTACTCTTGGTTGGGAATCTGGAGATCTCTTGGGTTCGGTCCTCCATTAAAGCGCTTAAGGGTGACACCAAACAGCTTCAAGTGCTTCACTGTGTCAAATATCTTGGGATGTGCATCGGTCCTCTGGGATCCTCTGAGGTGTGGTCTGAGGCTCTTCGCAAGTTTAGGCTTCGTGTGGGGGCCTCTCGCCGTCTGGGCTTGGGCCTTACTCGTGCTGCTGTTGCTTTTCGTGTCATGTGTGTCTCCGTGCTGGGCTTTACCGAGGAATGCGTTCAGTTATGCGATGTGTACACAGCTGCGCCAGCTTAATCTTCCTGTTGGGTTTCCTGAGCTTGCGACGTTGGCCCGAGCGACCTGCTTGCGGTATATTCTAAGGCGCCCTGCTGTTCTAGAGGTTTTCGCTCGACTGTCTTCCCTTGAGTTCGACGATGACGTGATTATGGTTAGGGTTCGCACAGGCTGGTGGAAATCCAGTTTTCTTTCATATGTGCGCACCTTGCATGCATGGTACATGAGCATCCCGATGCGTGTTAATGAGTCTAGCCTCAAGCTCCAAGCACTACTGTATACTCGCTGTCTTAAGCAGTTCGGCCCTCGAGAAGATGCCCGCAGTATTCTCTACCGGCGCATTTCGGCCTGGTTCCCTCAGCTTACCCTCCCTATGATGGATCGTTTCTTCCTGAACTCGTTCGTTCTGGTTGAGAAAACCCAACCCTACTTGTTGGTAGGCATTTATCGTTTCTTGTGCCGTGGTCTGTGTTCCTCTCGAAGATTTCATACCAGATCTGCTGGTTGCCTGTTGGGATGCCGAGATGAAGGTTCACAGGATCTTGATTCTGTCGAGCATTACAGTCGTTGCCTTCGTCTTGCTGCTCTCTTCCGTCGATGGCTTGGTCATTTATTTATCTCGTCGTCGTGGTTTCCTGAGGGTTCTCCCTGGCTTCTCCCCTTTCTTCTGCTTTCACCATCGCCGATGTCATCCAATGTTCTGTTTGCCGTTTGTATAGATGCTTTCGTTGCGTCCCACAATAACCGTCGTCTCGGCATTCCTGGCACGGTCGAGCAGCACTTCGAGGCTCGTCTGCGCGTGACTGCGCGGAGGCACCGTGTCGTGGCCAACGCTTGGAGGAGCCAGGCTGTTGTGTTTTTCTCCTCCTCCTCCCCCTCCCCCTCCTCTTTGGCAGTGCAAGTTGTTTCAGCTGATGCGGGGCCCTCGGAGCCGCCCCGTGGCAGGCGCCACCAGGGCGGCTCGCGAGGCCGCTGGCTTGCTCACGGTCATCGCCCCCTTTCGGGAGCCGCTGCGCAGCGCAGTGGCGAAGGGCGTGTGGCTTCTATCGCTTCGCCAGATACGTTCAGGGGTGGCTCTGGGGATCGGGGGGAAGAAAAAAAAAAAAAAAACAAAAAAAAAAAAAAAAAAACTAGGTTCCAAGCGATTCCCAAGGTGGCCCCAAGAGGCACAACTCATTGTTTTACGATTAGGTTTGACGGGTTTAAATTTGTTTTGCCTTTTGGCATCCCGATGCTCCAAGACGGCCCAAGAGGCTTCCAATACCGCTCCCATATAGAGGAAGAGGCCTCCAAGAGGGCCCCAAGACGGCCCGCGAGGGCCCCAAGACGGTGTTTGAGGCGCCCAAGACGTCCCGAGAGGGCCCCAAGAGAGGCCCAAGAAGGGGAACGCGACCCAACAGCAGAGCCTTCCCCCCAAAAGGCCCACAGGAGGCCGCAAGAGGCCCCCAAGTGGTCCGACGAGAACCCCAAAAGCTTCCCGAGGGCCCAAAAGGCCCCTAGGAAACGTCCAAGAGGTATCAAAATAGCCCAAGAGTGCCCTCGATGCGTCAAAACTGCTTCCAGGAGGCCCCCGGGAGGCTTCCGGATTGCCTCAATCTGGCCGCAGGTGGCCCCAAGTCGGGCCTCCACACAGCCAAGACGGCCAATGGCGGCTTCAGATTGCAGAACCGATGCCCCCAAGGGACCCTCAGACGACATCCCAAGAGGCACCCAAGAGGTGTTTTCAACAGCCAGTTGACGAAGGATGCGGAACACCCCAAAAGCTCTTCAGATGCCGTCGCGCGCCTGTGCTTGCTAGCGTTGTCCAAGATCGTCCAGCGCCCCCCCGGCCTGGGCTAGAACCTGAGCGCGCGTGAAGCGCGCGTGATGGTTCTAGCACGACATATAGATATTTATATATAATATATATATTATGTTGTATATATATATATATATATATATATATATCCCGGGGGAGCAGGCCCGGGGCCCGAAAACAGCTGCCTCGACCCTCCATGGGGGGACCGGGGCTCATTTTCCTTGTGTGTTTTACAGGGTTTCCGCGTCCTGGGCCTCGGAGGCCGCCGCTTCCGACCCCCCATGGGAGGACGGGGCGGCCGGGGAGGTCCAAAATAGTCCAGGAGGGCTTCCAGAGGCTCCCAAGACAGCCCAAGCGGGCCCCGAGTCGCCGAAATACCGCTCCAGGACGCCCAAGATAGGCTCAAGACGGCCCGAGAGGCCCCCCAAGGCACTCCACGACGCTTCAAGACGCCTCTCCAGAGCGCTTCAAGAGGCCGAAATCGTCAATTTTACGGAGGTTTTCGAACGATTTTGGCCTTCCAGCCTTTTCGGTTGTCCGACGTTCCAAGACGGCTCAATAGGCCCCCAGGGGCGCCCCAAGACGGCCCAAGAGGGCCCCAAGAGGGCCCCAGAGTCGCCCAAGACAGCCCAACAGAGCCCCCAGACGGCCCCAAGATGCGCCCAAGACGGGGACCACGACTCCAAGATTCGACCCTCCGGCTTGAAGAGTGCCCCAGGAGGCCCCAAGGAGTCCCCAAGAGGCCCCAGGAGGCCCCCAAGAGGCACCCAGGAGGCCCAAACGAGGCCTAAAGAGGCCACAAAACAGCCCCGAGGAGGCCCCACAACGGTCCCAAAACGGCTACCGAGAAGCTGCGAAACTGCCTTCACGACGTCCCCGACAGGCCAATCACGAGATCCAAACCAACACCCATGAGGCCTCTGACCCACCACCCAGGGCACGGTGGCGGGAGCAGTGACAGCACTTGTGCACAGCATGTTCCGGCGGGAGCCTTCCGGAACACGCTGCAGGAGGAGGAGGAAGATCAGGAGGAGAGAGAGCCGGAGTGGGAGGAGGAGGAGGGGGACGAGGAGCAGGAAGAGGCCTCCAAGACAGCGCCAAGATAGCCGAAGAGGCTTCCAAGAGGGCCCTGGGCGGCCCACGAAGGCCCCAAGGCGGTGCCTGAGGCGCCCAAGACGGCCCGAGAGGGCCCCAAGACGGCCCCAAGAGAGGCCCAAGAAGGGAAACACGAAGTGAGAATCCGAAGTTTCTACCCCGAGAGGTTCTCGGGAAGTCCCAATCGGGAAGTCCCAAGAGGCCCCCAATCGGATCCAAGAGGCCCCCAAGAAGCTCCCAAGAGGGCCGACGAGGTTCCAAGAGATCTCCCAAGGTGGCCCCAAGAGGCACAACTCATTGTTTTACGATTGGGCTTTGACGGGTTTTAATTTTTTCGGCCTTTTGGCATCCCGATGCTCCAAGACGGCAAAGAGGCTTCCAATACCGCTCCAATATAGAGGAAGAGGCCTCCAAGAGGGCCCCAAGACGGCCCGCGAGAGCCCCAAGACGGTGCTTGAGGCGCCCAAGACGGCCCGAGAGGGCCCCAAGAGCCCCAAGAGAGGCCCAAGAAGGGGAACGCGACCCAACAGCAGAGCGGTCCCCCCACAAGGCCCACAGAACGCCGCGTGCCCCCGCCGTTATTTTGTCCAACCTTCCTGTGTTGGGTTTTCGCTTTGAACAGAGCGCTG